CTGACCATTGGAGCAGAAGGAAAGTACTCTCCTACCCAAGGAATTTGCAGAAATCTTGGGAACGAAATTTTTAGACCTCAAGGTACAGGAAGACCCCCAACTGACATTAAATTGTATAACCTCTAACTACATTTTTACCAAGACTGGCTAATATCAAGGAACAGGGCATGTGGCCATGGACCTGTTCTTTACATGGAGATAGTAGCATTCTGTTACAACCAAAAGAATCAATCTGCTCACATTATAACTAGCAATTACAGGCATACCTCGTTTTACTACATTTCACTTTATGGTTCTTTGCAGATAATGTGTTTTTACAAATCAAAGGTTTGTGGCAACCCATTGTTGAGCAAGTCTACTTGCACCATTTTTCCGATAGCATTTGCTCACTTTGTGTCTCTGGATATTTTGGTAATTCCCACAATATTTTAAACTTTCTTTCATTATTATTATATTTGCTAGATCTGTGATCAGTGATCTTTGATGTTACTATTGTCATTGTTTTCGGATGCCAAGAACTGTACCCATATGAAACAGCAAATTTAATAACTGTTGTGTGGGTTTTGACTGCTCCACAGACTAGCTGTTCTGACTTTCTCCCTCTCCTTGGCCCTCCCTGTTCCCTGAAATCCAACAATATTGAAATCAGGCCAATAACCCAGTGATGGCCTCTAAGTGTTCAAGTAAAAGAAAGAGTTTCACATCTCTCATTTTAAATCAAATGCTAGAAATAATTAAGCTTAGAGTGGAAGTCCTGTTGAAAGCCAAGACAGGCCTGAAGCTAGGACTCTTGCACCAAACAGTTAGCCAAGTTATGAATACAAAGGAAAAATTCTTGAAGGAAATTAAAAGTTCTACTCCAGTGAACATATGAATAATAAGTAAGCAAAACAGCCTTATTGCTGGTATGGAGAAAGTTTTAGTGGTCTGGATAGAAGATCAAACCAGCCAAAACATCCCCTTCAGCCAGAGCCTAATCCAGAACAAGGCCCTAACTCTATTCAATTCCATGAAGGCTGAGAGAGGTGGGGAAGCTGCAGAAGAAAAGTGTGAAGCTAGCAGAGGTTCATTCATGAGGTTTAAGGAAAGAAGCCATCCCTATAACATAACAATGCAAGGTGAAGTAGCAAGTGTTGATGGAGAAGCTGCAGCAAGTTACCCAGAAGATCTAGCTAAGATCATTAATGAAGGTGGCTACACAAAACAACAGATTTTCAAAGTAGACAAATCAACCTTATATTAGAAGATATTATCTAGGATTTTCATATCTATTTAAAAGTCTCCACAACTTCAAAGGACTGCCTGACTTTCTTGTTTGGGGTTAATGCAGCTGGTGAATTTAAGTTGAAGCCAATGCTCATTTACCATTCTGAAAATCCTATGGCTGTTAAGAGTTATGCAGAATCTACTCTGCCCGTGCTCTATAAATGGAACAGCAAGGCCTGGATGACAGCACATCTGTTAACAACATTTTAAAATATTCAATATTGTTGAATATTTTAAGCCCACTGTTGCGACCTATTGCTCAGAAAAAAAAAATTTCTTTCAAAATATTACTGCCTGTTGACAATGCACCTGGTCACTAAACAGCTCTGATGGAGATGTACAACAAGATTAATGTTTTCATGCCTGCTAACACAACATCCATTCTGTAGCCCATGAATCAAAGAGCAATTTCAACTTTCAAGCCTTATTATTGTTTTACATTTATTATTGAAATACAATTGACGTACAATGTTATATTAGTTTCAGGTGTACAATATAGTAACTCAACACATTCTATACATTACTCAGTGTTCACCACAGTGAGTGTAGTTACCATCTGTCACCATATAACATTATTACAATATTATTGTCTATATTATCTATGCTGTACTTTTCATCTCCATGACTTATTTATTTTATAACTGGGAGTTTGTATCTCATAATCCCTTTCTTCTATTTTGCCCATTCCCCCACCAACCTCCCCTCTGGGAACCACCAGATTGTTCTCTGTATTTAAGAATCTGTTTCTTTATTTTTTCATTCATTTTGTTTTTAAGATTTCATATATCAGTAAATTATATGGTATTTGTCTTTCTCCATCTGACTTATTTCACTTCAAATAATACATCCAAGTTGTATTAAATGGCAATATTTCCTTCATTTTTGTGACTAATAATACATTGTATGTGTATAGAAGGACACTTGTGTTGCTTTCATATTGTAGCTATTGTAAAGAAGGCTGTGATAAACACTCAAATTAGTGTTTTCATTTCAAGTCCTATTATTTAAGAACTATATTTCCTAAGGCTGTAGCTGCCATAGACAGTGATTCCTCCGATGGATCTGGGCAAAGAACATTGAAAACCTTCTGGGAAGGATTCCCAGTTTTAGATGCCACTAAGAACACTTGTGATTCATGGGAAGAGTCCAAAAATATCAACGTGAACAGGAATTTGGAAGAATTTGATTCCAACCCTCATGGATGACTGTGAGGTGTTTAAGATTTCAGTAGAAGAAGTAACTGCAAATGTAGTGAAAATAATAAGAGAACTAGAATTAGAAGTGGAGTCTGATGATGTGATTAGATTGCTGCAATCTTATGATGAAACTTGAACAGATAAAGAGTTGCTTGTTATGGATGAGCAAAGAAAGTGGTTTCTTGAGATGGAATCTACTCTTGGTGAAGATGCTGTAAAGACTATTGAAATGACAACAAAAGATTTAGAATATTATATCAACTCAGTTGATAAAGCAGCAACAGGGTTTGTGAGGATTGACTCCAATTTTGAAAGAAGTTCCATTGTGGGTAAAATGCTGTCAAACAGCATCACATGCTACAGAGAAATCTTTCATTAAAGGAAGAGTCAATTGATGGGGCAAGTTTCATTGTTGTCTTATTTTAAGAAATTGTCACAGACACTCCAGCCTTCAACAACCACCATACTCATCAGTCAGCAGCCATCAACATCAAGGCAAGACCCTCCACCATCAAAAGATTATGACATGCTGAAAGCTCATATGATGGTTAGCATTTTTTAGCAATAAATTAAATTGATGCACGTATATTGCTTTTTTAAAAAAGCTTTATTTATTTGAAAGAGAGAGAGTAAGCACATGAGCAGGAGGGACAGAGGGAAAGAGAATCCCAAGCAGACTCCATGCTGAGTGTGGAGCCCCACTCAGGGCTCAGTCTCACCACCCTGAGATCATGGCCTGAGCCAAAACCAAGAATCAGAAGCTCAACTGACTGCACTACCCAGGTGGCCCTGTAGGTTGCTTTATTAGACATAATGCCATTGAATACTTTAATATAGTGTTAAGTGCCATTGCATACTTTAATATAGTGTAATGCCATTGTGGACTATAATATGGTATAAACATAACTTTTATATGCACTGGGAAATTTAAAAAAATTGATTTGACTTACTCTATTGTGGTGGTCTAGAACTGAACCTGCAATATCTTCAAGGTATGCCTATATTCTTAACCTCATTAATTAAAAAAGTATAGCAAACCCAAACACTTCCAGAACCAGCAGGAAATTTGATATATGAAGGGGCCACTGGCAAAACCTATGGTGAAGCAGAGCATTCATTCCACATGCAGTCATTAAAAGAATCAAAATTTAAAAATGTGTAAGTCTATTATATTACATAAACAATATCCTCATCTATTATGTAAAATATTAACCTAACCATTAATTTTTCATCTTTTAATATAGCTGGATATTTATGATTAGAAGAGTAAATCAGTAAACTTAGTTCTCCAGAAAACCAAATGTCTACTTAAAAATTGAGTTTTCCAAGGGTGCCTGAATGGTTAAGTCTGTTAAGCATCTGACTTTTGGTTTCGGCTCAGGTCGTGATCTTGGGGTCATTGGATTGAGCCCTGAATCAAGCGCTATGCTCAGTGGGGAGTCTGCTGGAGATTCTCTCTCCCTCTCCTTTTCCCCTCCTACTCATTCTCACTCTGTCTCAAATAGATAGATAGATAGATAGATAGATAGATAGATAGATAGATAGGTGATAGATAGATAGATAGATAGATAGATAGATAGATAGATAATTGAGTTTTCCAAATTCTTCTCTAGATGAATAGTTTGGAGATAATGAGCATGGACTTTGGATGCTCCCACTACCAAACAAGCTCAGTGACCTTAGTTAAATTATTTGGCTACTCTAAGTCTCACTTTTATCTTTAATAAAATGGACAGAATAGGACCTATCTTATAGGACTGTAGTCAGAAGAAAATGAGATTACACACACACACACACACACACACACACACATACACACACACACACACACTTGCATAGCCCAGAGCCTGGTTCAGTGTGGGCATTCAATAAATACTAGCTATTTTTAGAAATTGCATTGAGATAGTGCCTTATCTTTCCCAGGCAAGAGTCCCTCAAGCCTTCTTCAAAAAATGTATATTGAACAAACACTGGGAATAGAGCAGTGAACAAAACAAATATCCTTGCTTACATGGAGTTTATGTTTCAACCAAAACAGAAAATTTTAGAATTGTCCATTTTGACAGTATCTTACACTTTTAGTATCTTTGTGTAATTAACTGTAGTACATCTTGAAATTAATCAATTAGATTGGCTTTGCAAAACCAAATTCTTCCTAGTCATATACCATTTATTTATCTTCATTGACATTTAGCATGAAGAGTTTTAGACTTTGCCATTTATCTTTAAAAGGATGAATGAAATAGTTTCATCCCTTAGTTTATCTCTGTATGGCCCTCCCTCTGATAATAGGAATAATAGAATGTTAAAGATATTTGGGCTAAAAAGGATCTTAATTAATTCACTCACTTTACTTTTTGCTTGAGATACTGAAGACAGACTTGAAGTAACCTAAGTAAGGACATAATTAGTGTATCTAAAAAAGATACTTTTAATGGCGCTCATATTGTTAGGGGAAAAATGTACCTCTTGTATCCTAAATGCCATATAATTGGTGAAGATTGTAGTGATGTGAATGACTGCTATTTTTGCTAACAGCTGGACTCCAATGGGGAACTGCTTATCCGAAATGCCCAGCTGAAGCATGCTGGTAGATACACATGTACCGCTCAGACAATCGTGGACAATTCTTCAGCTTCAGCTGACCTTGTTGTTCGAGGTAAGAATTTCAACATTTTAAATTTACAAAACCAGAGGTATTTGACTTGCATAACTATTGTATAATCTTCTGGTAACTCTGGTATGAATTCTTATATATTTAGAGTCTTGGTCCTTGAGACTAGCTCCTCGTCCATGCCTAAGAATGATTTATGCCAGACAAGTAGTAAACAACACTGATTTTGTTTGTTTTACTAACTACGTATCTTCTAGAAACTTATACCACATACCTCCTACTAAATGTTTGTGCTTTTAAACTTAGTCTTTACCAGAAGTTCTCAGTTTCTGCTAATACTTTTCATGTGTTGAGTATAGTGTTTTTCCTTTTGTATTTTTTTGTATGGAAAAAACATACTGGTGCTGTTTGCTATACCTTGAAGTGTTACATATTTATCACTATCATTTTAGAATAAAAAGTTAATTTATACATCTATCATGTTTCTATTTGTTGCTGGTTTTTAGGCTAGTGCTTTTGTTCTTATATATAATTGAGAATATGCGGCAATACACCCTTATTGAAAGTATAGCCCCCTTGATACTGTCCTTTGCTGTATAGCTGTGAGGCCCACTCAAAACTTCATCCATTGGCTCTTCACTCACTGCCTACAAAACAAAGACCACTCCTTTTAACTAAGTACCAAAAAGCTTCTTGTATTAACTTCAGCCTTTTTAGCTTTAATCTTTTACCATTCCATGTAACCAACTCCACGGTCCAAAGAGTCCACAGAAATATCCTAGGGTTTCTACTTCCATTCCTTGGATCACAGCATTACTTCCATGTCCTATAGTCATTGTTTGTGGCCCAAATCTTAAGCCATCCTTCAAGGCTAGGCTCAAGGATTGCCAAATTCATGAGTCCTTTCCTGATGTCCCAAATATGTGTCCCTTTCTTCTAAACTTTATTAGCAGTCAATACTTTCTTTAATGTGTTTTATAGCAATCTGTGCATATGAGTTATCTTCTCTACTAGGTTGTGAAATTCACATATGCATTTTTTATTAATCCTTAAGCAAGCTGAAGAATTCTATCCCATAGTTTCATAGCTCTCTTTATCAGTCTGTGTCATGTTAAAATTTTTATTTTATTCCTTTTTATGTTAAAATTTTTATCAGTCAGTTTTTGTACAATTAAACAAATAATTAATAAATGAGATGATATCTGTGGTTTGTCCTCATACCCCTCTAGATCTAATATAATTTCACCCAACCTCATATATCTCCTGCAGTTGCCTCTTAGAGTTGCAGTGGTAATATGGAGTCCTCAATTCTCCATCTGGGGAAATGCTGAAAAGCCCTTTATTCCAGCTGAACATATTCTCCAATAGAGTAATAGAAGTTCAGCTGAAGTTTCTTTATCCAAATGAACTTAGACGTTCATTCCATATATCCCTTATGCTAAATTGAAGGAAGTTCATTTAAGTTCTGTATTTTCATTAAAAGTATTTTATGATCTGGGACATCTATTATATTCAAGAGTCATCAGAGAGGGGGCCTAGCTCACTGTTTTTTTCTAGTTAGACTACTAGCTATTAAGCCATTTTCGATGATAGCCTATGTATATATTTAATTGAAATTGTTTGCATATTTAAAAATTCACATTATGTTACAATAGGGATTATGTTTGGGGCATCTGGGTGGCTCAGTTGGTTAAGCACCTGACTCTTGATTTCGGCTAGAGTCATGATCTTGGGGTTGTGAAATAGAGCCCCCCATGTCGGGGTCTGTGCTGGGTGTGGAGTCTGCTTAAGATTCTCTCTCCCACCCTGCCCCCCTCCACCTCTCCCACTTTCTCTCCCTCTCTAAAACAAAACAAAACAAAAACAAACAACAAAGGGGTTATGTTACCATAATTACAATGTGGTAAATTCCCAGTATTCAGAGGGAAGAGGAAGTTAGACAAATGCAGTCAAAGAGCATCAATGGTATTATCCACACATACTTAGGTAATTAGCAATCATCATAATGTATATTTTTTTTACAGAGGTAAAACCAATAAAAAAAACTATTTTAGGTATCGTATGGAAATATTAAGTGTTTTTTTTAAGCTTTTTAGTTACAGGAAAAATACTTTAAAGCAATAGAACCTGGCAAGTGCACTCAGTAGAAATATGATATAACATTTTAAGTCCCTACACTACAGCAGGATATTAAAAAAACTCTACAGGTAGATGAAAAGTATTACCTAGCCCTGTTAAAAGCCTACAAGTTGTACTCACTCTCCAAACTTTATTTCTAATAATCTAAAAGGTATTCCTTTTATGTCAAGAGAAATTTGCAATTAAAATAGTCAAATATATATGTGCATAGCTTGTGTCAAAAAATGTATATAAATTAGACCTTCAAATATGCTTTATATACTTAAGTCATGGGATATAAAATTAAACAATTTCCTATATTTATTATAGTAATGATGAGTATTATATAAGAAAATATAGTATACCTCAAGTAATATTATTATTGGTCCATTTATCCACTTAATTATGTTTTGTCATCTAGTCCAGGAAATCATAATCTGTTCCTTGGACAGGCTTCAAGGGGTTCATGGACTTTCTGAAATCATATGCAAAATTTCATGTGTGTGTGGCATTTCCCTGGGAAGAGGATTTATAATTTTCATCAGATTTCCAAAGCCAGCAACGGCCCAAAAGGCCATTTTTGGCCCGGAGGCCAAGAAACTTAACCTGCTTTTCTTTCCTTCCCTCATCTAGATCAAGACTCTCTAAAAAGAAAAACTAAGGAATATTCACTTCATGCTAGTAATAATAATAAAAAAAACCCTAACAAGTTCCATGTAGTGAGGTCTAATAGCTCATTTAAATTATGAATTGCATGTAAAAAATTAAATTTTCACTAAACCTTTCAAGAATATATCTGACTCAAAACATATTAAATATGTTACATATTAGACATTAGATATCTTTAAGAACTTGCTGGATTAGAGATGAAATAATTCTTGTCACTAATTCTAGTGACCTAAATTGCAGATTCTGAAATTAGTGCAATGAGTAGGACAGTGAACAGATTAGAGAGGAAAGTAATTTCCTGATGATCACTGAGAAATTTTTTGGGCAATAGAACTAGCTTAGTGCATAAACTGTTATGCTCTATGTAATGAAAATAGAAATATTCAGACATAACTTAGATAATGTGGTTTCTTTTAGCCTATGTTACCTTGAAGGGAATGAATACATAATGAAAATTATTGCTGCTATTCGTGTGTGCGTATGTGTGTGTGTGTGTGTGTGTGTGTGTGTGTGTAGTAATCATGGATTGGTGAGTGTGGGTATGTGTAAAATTTGATAAAAGTAATTTGTATGAGAGAGAAAAATGTATTTTAGGTTTATACCTTTCATCATTATTTTAAATTGAGTTTAGAATAGAGGCAGTGAATTAGTTAAATCTGAGTGTTTCTAAATATAAAACTGGAATTAAATATAGGAAAAATATAGACAAAGGAAAGTGTAACATCGGATCTGATTTCATGGAGCTCTTTACCCAGAGAAAACTCACCTCCCACCTTTTATCTGTTTATGTATGATAGGATTGAGAAATAAGGAAAAGAATAGCAAATGTTGTCAACTAAAAACAGTTTACAAAAAATGGTCCAATAATCATTTATAAGTCATTGTCTCTGTAGCAGCCATAAATGTTTACGTTTAAAAATCTATAGCACTTCAATTTTTTTACCCGCCAATTGAGTCCGCAGGTGCTCAAGGATTAGACCATAAAAGTGGCACATATTGTCGTTCCTCCATGTAAACAGTTTCAAACCCTGTTTGAAACCCCTGGAGTCATATTGGCCATGTAATTTTCACCTTTGATTTCCAAAGCTGCCCTTTATGTTATTTCTATCCTTTCACTTTGGATATATTTCTGCTAGTCCTTGTACAGTATAGAGATTATTTTTGCAAAAGTAACTTTTATTCAAGCAGTATTGTCCTGGAAGCCTTACACATAGAATTCAGGTTGCAGTGATTGGAAGAAATCAAAACTATTTACTTTACTGGCAATATGCTAATTCAATGTTCTAAAACTCTTTCACTAAAAGCACCACAATTTTTGGATAAACCAATATACATTCTTCCTCACAGCCCTGGCGAAGGCAAAAAACTACCCTCTCTGAATAGCAAGCCTTCAAACCAGCCCCTTCAGGAGTCCAACAAATTTAGATAAATCAAATATGAAATTATGTAAAAAATGACAAGAAGCCATAATGAGAGAGAATCAGGAGTTAGATTGATAACAATAGTGTTTGAGTGCAGAGTACAATACATATTTTAATCATTGGAATAAGAATGAGAATATTCTTGCCCAAATCTTTAAATAAATAAAAGAGGAAATGGTAAAAATGAGTTGGAAACAAGATACTATAAAAATGAGATTTGGGAGGAAAAAAACAGGAGTAATACCTATAAATGATAAACACAATCACTGAAAATAAAAAATCAATAGGTTAAACAACAATCAGAGACAGATTAGAAAATGAAGGAGGGGAAATCGGAGGGGGAGACAAACCATGAGAGACTATGGACTCTGAGAAACAAACTGAGGGTTCTAGAGGGGAGGGGGGTGGGGGGATGGGTTAGCCCGGTAATGGGTATTAAAGAGGGCACGTACTGCATGGAGCACTGGGTGTTATACGCAAACAATGAATCATGGAACACTACATCAAAAACTAATGATGTAATGTATGGTGATTAACATAACATAATAAAAAAAAAGAAAATGAGTAGGGACCTAAGAGATAGTATATGAGGAAACAAACACAAATAAATAAACACAGAAAGACAAAGACAAATTATAAAAATGAGATTATTACATAAAGGATCTAATGATAAAGCAATATTTGTCAAATCAGATTACCAGAAGGAATATTAGATAAAGTAGGAGAGAAAAGTTTTCAAAAAGATAATAACTACAAATTTAGGAAGATTAGTGACAAATATAGCTTCTCATTTTTAAGAATCACAATGAAATACAAGAACAATTAATGAAAATAAAA